TTTCTATGGGATGGGGTTGCTGACCTCATGCACAACTCTTCACTTTTACCTGGGATTGGGACTATCAGTACGTCTGGAAAGCTAAAGGCAGAGTGTTGTGGTGAATATGTCCGTCTATCACGTAGAATGCCCGGGTTCAATTCTCGGTCGAGAGGTCGACTTTGGACAGCTCAGAATCAAGTAGACAATGTGGACTTTGCAGATGACCTAGCCCTCTTACCTCATACTTATGAATAGATGCAGATGAAGACAACTAGTGTAGCAGTAGCCCCTGCATCAGTAGGCCTCAACATGCACAAAGGAAAAAGCAAGATGCTCAAATATAACAGGGAACACTAACTCAATCACACTTGATGACGAAACTCTGGTAGATATTTAATCCTTCACGTTCCTGGGAAGCATCATCGGTGAACGTGGTGGATCGGATGCAAATGTAAAGGCTAAGATGAACGATGGAAACGGATAGGACATACATTACGCAAATCACCAAGCTACATCACGAGGCAAGCCCTAACTTGGAATCGTGATGTGAAGCGGATAAGAAGAAGGCTAAAGAACACATTACCTCGGGAAATAGAAGCAGATATGAAAAGGATGAATAACAAGTGGAAAGAGCTGGAGAGGATTGCCCATGACAGGGTTGGATGGCGAGTGCTGATGGGCAGTTTATGCTCCTCGACGAGGACTAACAGGCGTAATTAAGTACGCATGTAAGATGTGAGCATTTTAATGATGATATTTTTAATAGTGAGAAATTTTTGAGTCACTTTGTTGATAATTCGAGTAAAATTGAGCTGATAAATATTGCGGTCAACGATAATCAAATGTGTCTTTGAAAATTTATGAGCTCTTTAGTTTTATTTTCTGTGAGCCATTGTTTTGGAGGAATGTTTATAGTTTGTCACATTCTCTTAAAGCTTTTATGTCATTTATGTGTTTTGTTGACGAATTTCCCAATGGCCGGTTGGTTTGAAATAACTATTGCAGTATCTTGACAAGTTCGACCCAATACATCATCCAGAACAAAAGCTATCATTTTAGCAAGTGGACCCGCAGTGAACAGAACACGGGTGGGGACAGTCGAATATCCTAAACTCGAAATTACAGAGCACCTCAATAAAATCTGAGAACCATATATTAAATTGTTAATTTACAAACTGTCCACCAATTGTCTCAAAATGCCTCAGACTTCATTGCTCTTACATTTTCATACAAATTGCATTCTATTCCCGCTCTTGCTTTCTTGATCTTCCCTCATCTTCTACTGCCAGACATTTCATTCCTGACTCGCATAATATACTACTTATATCAATATAAGTAACACACACCACAGAACTACTTTGAAACTTAGTCACAGAAAAATATACTAATACTTAACATTTACACATTGCATCACTGGCATACTTGTAGTATTATTTTTGCCAATAAAGAATTTTTGACAAGTGCAGTTCTTCAAAGAAATCTGTTCTTTAAAAGGGGTGAGATTTATGGAGGTTCGAATATAGTTCATTCGTAAAATGTCATCTTACTTCTAAAGAATTACTAATTTACAAAACAACAATACTATCTTTTTCAAAAGAATATCGATTCAATTGTTTCGTTTATTCAAAACTAAGGAAACTTGAAAATGAATCTAGTAATGAATCTTTGTCAAACTGATTGTTAAAATTATTGTGAAACACAACTTAATCTATTACACCTTTTAGCTATCTCATGATGTAATTGTTATAACATCTCGTTTGAATGCTTATTGTCTTGGCTCTTTTAATGCTACTTTTTTTATCTGGTCGTCACTGATTGTTATGTCGGAAACACTTATCACTTATACTCGAAACGAAGGACCTCTGCAATTCCCACGATGCGAAAGTAAGGACACAAAGACGGGTGTAAGTGAAGATTTATTAACCCCCAAAACACGTCGACGACGACAACTCTAGTAGAAAATACACTCATTTATATATTGATTGTACATCCATTTTGATTAATAATTAGGATGAAACCACATATATGGGAAATACTTAGAGTTATAACAAATCGCAGACTGATCATAGTTCATGTTAATGGAATACAAGAATATCGTATATTATACAGAATAAAATATCATACGAGAAAACAAAGCCGAATACTACATTGAGTAATCATTACACTGAATCGAACGGAAGTAATCTTGAACAAAACTCATAGTGAGTAAACCAATCGCAAATTGACTTTTCTTTCCATCATATCAGTAACAACGTTCTTTCAAAAAAATATTTTATGAAACAAATGGTGTTCTGTACGTTTAAAAATGAAATTGGTTACACGCAATATACAGATATTTCATATCGATATTGTAACTTCGCGCTTAATACAAATTTCGGAAAGTAACATAAAGTTTCTTTAGAAGAAAATTGAAGTTTCTATGATTACTAGTGTTATGAACATTATTCAACTATAGTATGAATAAACTTCAACTAAACTAAATGGATTCAGTGAGCGTTTTCTTGTTACAAATGTGAATAGTCCGCCAAGAAAGTGTTTTTTTTCGCGATCGTTCAGACACTTATTCTCTACAAATTTATTTAGCCTGAGTTACTTAGAAAATTTTTAAACTTTCAAATTTCTCTATAATTTTTCTGTTTTGTGTTTATGATCAGTCAACAGCTTATATTGTCGACAGTCAAGTTATGCTTTTATTATAATGTTTCAAATATTAATGCATAGGCAAATGTACATATGAATTGGCGGACAGCATAATTCAAAGTTGCTTAAAACGATTTAATGCTACTCAAGTAAATAATCCTACTATAAATGACAGCTAGTAATATCAAACATTTGATGAAACTCATTTTATCCCTTAGTATGTCCATGTAACTGGTAAAATAACTATTCTTCTAGCAACCACTTAACATAAACCAATCTTCTACGGCTATCTAGTGTCAGAAGTAGTTCATTATGGCGTGAAACTTTTATGAGGACATACCTTTAATATCAGATTAAATTATTATTACATAAGTTTATGAAAGACATGTTTTTGTTTTAATTGATATTAGCATATCTAACCTCCTGAGTTAAACAAAAAATAATTTAAACGGTACAATATCATGACAATTGTCTCATTGAACATCTTATTCAATGAAAAGATAATCTTTGCTAAAAGACAACTGATCACATTGATGTAATATATGAAATAGGGTAGTTAGTTTCATATTTTTAAATAAAAAAACTGAATGATAGATATGCTAATTTATTGATACAAATTCAGAAGAAATAACTACTGATCAGTAGATGCATCTGACCAACGCTGAGCTCTAATGACTGATGTACTATACAATAGGTTTCATGTTTAACTTTGTGTTGATATTCAGCTTCAAGTGTTCATTAGGGATAATGCGATAAACAGAGATCTACCATTTAAATTTAGAGACAATCTTTTCGTAATACTACATATTACTAAATTACTTATTTGTCTGAAGTATTTGTAAATAGTTTTACGATCATAGTGTTATATTCCCCATGAATACTAGTTACTAATCATCAGCTAATTATACTCACTTAATTCTTACTGTTAATTTGTGAAGACGTGTGACTCGCTCCTGAGAATATACACTTTATAATAAATAGTTCAAATAACTTTCTTACATTTTAGTTAGCAAATAGCAAATATCAGAGTAATTTCAATGGTTGAGATCATGAGTCAATTTAAACTAGATCATAATAGACGGCCGTTTCGTCCTACTGTGGGACTCCTCAGCAGTGCGCACCCACGATCCTGCCGCGCGGGATTCGAACCCAGGACTCATCAGTCTCGCGCACACGTGCTTAACCACTTGACCACTGAACCAGCATCCAGCGGTGTTAATGTCTAACTTCAACCAATCCACGAAACTGAGTGACATATCTACCAATGTCTTCAGTGATTTACTATCTCACAACAAACCCTGTTCAACTCCACTGGTCACTGACTAGGAGTTCCACTATAGGAAAAAGCAGTCGTCTAGTACTTTCGGGTTTTTCATGGTGGTCTGGCTTCAATTGACTCATGATCCCAACCGTTGCAATTACTATAGTATCCACAAAAACCCTTCTGGCATATCAGAGTAATTTTTGTCTGAAAAACTTTGAGTTTGCAAAACTAATCTTTTAAATGTTATACTAATACACTAAAGAGAAATAATGTATGAATGTAGCTTTAATTGACTAATGATTTTTATCAGTGAAATTTCCGAAATCTCCACAAAACCCTCTCTGATAAATAATCATCTTGTCACTAGTGACTGAATTCAAGAGATGCTCCTGGCGTTCTAGTTAGAAGCCGTGACCGGTGGAGTCCAACCAAGTCTGTTGTGGGATATCAACTCACTTAAGACAATGGTGTATGCTGGCGCAACTTCGTCGGTTGGTTGAAGTTAGACATTAACACCGTTGGATGCCGGCCAGCTCAGTGGTCTAGTTGGTTAAGCGCAAGACGGATAGGTTCTCGGTTGAAATCTCGTGGGGTGCGGGATCGTGAATACGCACTGCTGAGTAGTAATAGGACGAAACGGCCTTTCAGTGCTTCAAGGATTTCCATGGTGGTCTAACTTCAATTGACTCATGATTTCAACCAGTGAAGACTGTATTTGGAAAATCCTAACGAAAGAATTTGAAGTTAACCCCACATTTCGCCTAGCAATTCGGTTCAAGCTTTATCAAGGAAATATAAATAATACGTTTCGATTATGAATATTATTGCCTAGAAATGTAGTATATTCTTCAAAAGGTAAACAAATTAAGTCAATAGTGACTTGGTTAATTGAATTCTTTGATATAAAGTATGATAACTAGGAGAAAAAGATCACCTACATCAAAGCGATAAATCAACATATTTACACAGGATGTTTACTTAGATTATTGAAATAATTTTTTTCTATACTATTCACTTGTTATATAAACTAACGCTTTTTTTACAACAGAATTTTAATATTAACATATATAGACATGAATACAAGCATCAACAAAGCCACAATGATCAATTTCGTTTAAACATTAACATTGTCATTTCTCAATGATTTACATCGAAATAAATTTAGAAATTGTGTTCGAAATGGTGTTGACATTGTCCAAAATATTAAAAAATTTAATAAATATGAACATAATATTAAAAGATTACAGATGATTACAATTCTTATCCATAATACATTTGTAGGTCCTTCATCAATATAGATCATTGTATTTGTATTATGTAATTGATTTACATATTTCATGACTGTATAAGGTAATACAATTGATTGATTTGTATTTTTGAAAATGGTTATAGTTTCTTTGATATTACTCGTAGAACTACTTATAATATCATTATAATTAGTAGTCAATTCATATATTCTATTTTGTATTAATGTTAATGTATATACAAATATCACTAATGCATTAGGTAAATGAATTAAAATAAATTTCATTAATATTACTATTAACATATTGGAAATATTAAAAAATTCAGTTACTTGTGATTTACGTTTTATTAAATTTATAAAAGTATCATTCTCTTGAATTGTTTCATCATTATTAACATTACCATTCAATAATACTGATAATGTAGAATTTTTAGATTGAATATTATGAAACTCTTGATTACTACTATAGAGTGTATCTGTTTTGTCGGTTATCAAACAAGTGAAACAATTCAATTTATTTTGAACTTTATGATCAATGATTTGATCGTGTTTTGAAATATTCGTTGTTTCTGGTGATAAACTATGTTTATAAGAACTAATAGGTAATGAATAAGATTTGGTTTGTTTATATGTAGATAATGTTTTAGAATATTGTAATAATAATTTACCACGTGTAAGCCATAAATGCTTTCTATTAATTTGTCTCATTTTCATTATGATTATTATGGTTAATATAATTAATAATATACAAGGTAATAAATGTACAAGTATGACACGAGTTAAAAAATATAGAAACATATGAATAGGTAAACATGTATGACATTTCATGACAACATATGGTAAATAATCTAATGCTTCATATAATAATATTTGTTTAAAATCAATGGAATAATTTCTAAAAGTAACATTTTGATGTAGAAGAAGTGGTTGAAATCGAACAAAAGTTGATTGAAACATTGGAATATGTAAAATTAGTGCACATAATAATACACTAATACAAACTAAACGTACTGTAAGTATAGAAAATAATCTTGTAGCTTTATTAGGATATGTAATGTAAATAAGTCGTTGTAATGCAACAAATAATGTTAACCATGTAGCTGTTGTATGACAAACAGTTGGTAAAAATACTGTAGTCCATGCAAGTATTCCACTTGCTGTAGGATTTGAACTTGTTTGATAAATTTCTAATGGAGCATATTTCCACCATTTTGAAATTTGTGTTAAATTATACAATGTATATTTTTTATACTCCCACCAAACAGGATCACTATAAAATGCTCTGAGTAAATACATTGGTAAAGGTAACAATCCATTGGACATTTCCACCATTGTAATACCTAATAATACGGTAAACACAGGTGTTTTCATAGTAGGTCTAGTTAAAACAGCAAGTGATAAACTGTTGAATAAAATCAACATAATTAATAAGATGGGTAAAATAATCGTTTGTATAATCTTGTCAAATATTACATTTTCATCAATTATTGACTCTGGATAAGGTCCACAGATAAAATGTAGCTGTCTCGCAGAGACTAATCCACCATATCCAGTTGTACGTGATGTTTTGTCAAAAAGAAACAATTCTTTCTCATTTGGAATTGGTTTAATCATACTAGTAGCGGATAGTGCTATATTTTGTCCTTCTGGATCATTGAAACCGTAAAATAATTGATAATTCGAGTCTGCTTCATTAATGTTCATTGTGAAAATATTTTTTGTCTGGTTAATCCAACTTGTTTTCTGTGTATAGTTGCCAAAACATCAAGGCATCACCTAATAATATTTGCAAAAGACTGTAAGCATTGGAATTTTGAAGATACAGTAATATAAAAATATATGTCATGAAATTAGAATTGATCTTACACGATAATTTAATGGATGGTCACGTATTCTCTTTTTTTCATAATGAACACATTTTACTAGTCAAAACAAGTAAAAGAAAATCATGTTGTGATGAATCGTTTTCAGTGATAACTTCTCTGACTGTGAAGCTGGGAGACAGGGGATCGAATTCATCACGGATCATCAGTTCCCTCATGATTACAGGTACACCTTACTGACGAGTGCCAAGTAGCACGAAACCCGGATTCGGGGTTTCCTGTTGACTACCTTCAACCACCATCTTATTTTGAAATAATGTATATGATACTCTCAGTACATAAAATGGCATATATCAAAAATAATCATTTTGATGTGATCGATTCTGAGCCATGCCACCCAATGTCTCCAACCATTGGGTACGATCGCTGCGTGGACCCCAACCAGGTCGTCTGCATCTACCAACATAGCTCATACTAAAAGTTAGTGACTTCAAGGACTGATTCCACGTTTTGGTTTGGTCGCCCCTAACTTTCTCCCAACCATCCCCAACACCGGTTATCATTGTAAGTCGTGGTAATCGGTGTTCAGGCATACGTAACACGTGACCCAACCATCTCAATAGATGAAGATTTACAACCTCATCAACTGATTTACCATCATGCAAGAAACTGGAGATGGCATGATCATGCGGTATCTTCAAACGTACTTCTAGAAGATATACCGAATAGTAACACTTAAAATAGTACTTTAGATTATCAAACTAAATTCGTAGACATTAAATTATGTTTAGCGATTACTAACTTCTGACCTGTTGTTTCATAAAACTTTCATACTCTTTAGGATAAAAAACAAAATATTTGGTAAGAATATAAAATATTATTATTCATGGTAAAACCTCATTTCAACAAAAACAAAACGTTTTAAAAAGAGTGAATCGCATTCATTTAAATAATAATGCCACCGGTAATTGACACTGATAATGTATTTATAACCTATGATAGTTTTAGTAAGCTCACTAAGAATAAAATACCAATTTCAATCGTATCTATGTAAAATATCAAAGGGAAACTTTTGGATGGTGGTCATTAAGTATATATTGAAAAATGGTAAAGTTTCTTAAAGAAATATATTAAAGTATGATCATAGAAACATAAATAACAATGTTTGTTCTTAGCTGATGAAAAGATGAAATATGCGGTATGTTCGGAAATATTTTTCAAACAAAAGTTACTTCATTTATTTGGTCATATAAAGTATACGGATGGCAAGTTTTCAGAATGCCGATGGTACTTTATTACTGACAATTGTTTCAGATAATCAAAGTTTGCTTCCTTAAAATGAAACTGGCATTTTTTTACTAGGTATATATTTCATAAATATAATATGAAACTAGGGACGGTAATCTATTAAGATTCTTAGTTTTAGAAATAATTTCCATTTGATTTTCAATACATATTATTTTTCTTGACTTTTGGAAACTAAAATGTAATGGTTGTATAATCTGAGTATTCTGACATATTAAGAAAAGGAAAGGTTAAGTGAGTCAAAAACCTTCTATGAAGAATCTTTGTTTTTCCAGTAAACATTAAATAGAGGAACAGATCAATCCGAAAATGAACGATGGAGTTTTGTTCTCTGAGCTGAATGGTTTGGTTGTGGATCTATGGTCGTTCTTCTGAACAACATCATCAGCACAAACTTCAAGTAGAAATAAGGTGTTCGAATTTCTCCACATGTGGTTCACAGCATGTTCTGTACACCTCGATGTTGATTGGTTCTTGTTGACCATAAACTTGTCATTGTTTACTTTTTTGTTTTGGTTGTATCTCCCATCAACATTAAGTTGTACAGGAAAAGCTGTGAACCACATGTGGAGAATTTCAAACACTTCACTTCTACTTGAAATTTGTGCCGATGACGTTGTTCAGAAGAACGATGAAAACTCGAAGACCAAATCATCCAGTTCAGAGAATAAAACTCCATCAAAATCATCCACCTTAGCTACAAATCTTCTCCACCATCTCAGAAACATTATTATCAAATCTGAAGTTTGTTCATTGTGTCTTTATATTAAATACCTTTACATAAAGCGTCGATTTTTAAAGAAAAACCCCAATTCGAATCATGACATATGGAGCAATATATAAACATTATTATTTTATTGAACTCTCGTTTTTAGTAGAAAGCAACGTTTATAAGTAAGATTTTCACAACCTATGTATTTGAATATGTTCATGAGAATAAGATTTAATATTATTTCAGTGTCCTCTTTGTTTTACCCAAACGAACAAAAATTCTTTGCTGATTGAAATCATGAGTCAATTGAAGCTAGATCACCATGGAAGTCCTGGAAGCACAGGACGGCCGTTTCGTCCTAGTATGGAACTACTCAGCAGTGCGTATTCACGATCCTGCACCCCACGAGATTCCAACCCAGGACCTATCAGTCTTGAGCCAGGCGCTTAACAAAGTAGGCCAATGAGCTGGCCATCATCCAACGGTGTTAATGTCTAACTTCAACCAATCCCCGTAGTTGCGCCAGCGTACACCATTGTCTTCATGATTTGACTCGTGATTTCAATCAATCTCCACAAAACCCCTTCTGATAAAAATTCTCTGGACAGTGTGCTGTCATTCACATTCACGATAAAATCAGTTATAATTATAAATGATTTTGAAAAGAGAACCATATACAATGAATATTTGTTAAAACATTTTAATTTTTTTTTGGATGATAAAATCGAAAAATTCATGAAGCATGGAAATGTTTCTCCGTAATTTCTTTTTAGTTTGTTAGTTTTTTTTCTCGTTTGGAATGATCATAAAATGTCTGAATTAAAGTATGTTTTGTTTGTGATCGATTTTCAACTTGTGAACGTTGGTAAATTATAATCACAATAGTTTAGAACATGAGTCAAATGAAGCTAGACCACCATGGAAAACCTGGAAGTACTGGATAGCCGTTTTGTATTATTGTAGGACTCCTCAGCAGTATGCATCCACGATCCAGCTCCCCGCGGTAGTCGAACCCAGGACTTATCAGTCTCGTGCCAGGCCCTTAATCACAATAGGACGAAACGGCCATCCAGTGCTTCCAGGTTTACCATGGTGGTCCAAATTCAATTGACTCATGATCTCAACAATTAAAATTACTGCAATCTCCACAAAAACCCCTCTGATACAAATTATAATCAGTTTGAACATAGTTTTGCACGATGGTTAAGATTCAGGTGAAGAACATAAGTTTTTGTTTGTGACTGTTGAATTGTATGAATCACAATGTCTACATTAGCTGAAAACTAGATCTATCTGATCTTGTATTGAACATTGTAAGACTAGTATTGGATATCAATGCTTTATATTTACAATAAGATGATCATTTAATGACAATATTAAAAACCGTGTTCCTTGAAATGCGTCAATTACGGTTTCTCAATGGGATTTATAATTAAGCCTATTATCACAGCTTTCCATCTACCATTATTTACTTTTTTATAATAACATATTACAGATTCACTACTATGTTTCTGTCAAGACACAAAGTAATGAGCTATTACAGTTACCTCTTGTTAAAGTTAACATTTTAGTTTCCTAATAAGTGAATATTGAATTCTGAATGCTAATCTATACTCTGGTTTCGACAAAAAATATAGTAGCTTGCAATATTCAAAAACCATATATCTGAACTTAATGATTCTCTACTGCAATTGAAATGGATCACTTCAACTTCATCTAGTAATATTTAATTGAGAACATATAATTGACAAGAAACATCCAAATGAACCATTACAGATAAACTATTTAACATATCTTTTATTTCAAAGGTTCGGCAACTGTCATTCCGGTTATGCCATTATCTTAGTATGCTCATATTGTTCATACTCTAATCATTTTGTTATTTATTTGAACACATAAATATTGGTACAAAATGTCACCGAATACATATGCACCACACGTCACTTGGTTTGTGTGTGGTCTGTGATACTGCCCGAGTGCACAGACCAAAGCAGTATGAATGCATGGAAACAGCAGTCACTACTATAAAATTCATCATAGGGGTTTCCATCTAGAATGCGATCGGCAACATACTTGCAGCTAGAATACTTTCAAATGTACGGTGATATGATGGTAACAGAAGGGTTCTCTGAACAGCTGGTGTCGTTCAAATTTATTAGATTTCAAAGCATGATCCTGAGTGGTAGAGCGACAAATTAGTCCAATACTTCTAGCAAGTAATCGTATGGAAAGTAGCATCTTGAACAATGCTCAGTTCTCAATGAATAACGACTCTATTCTTACATGATTTATAATTAAAAAAGTATATATTTCGTTAATATTGCTGTACTCTAAAGTAGTATCACCTCTAATCAAAATTTTAGAACACGTTTTACGTTTTCTTGTCTTAACAACCATGTTACAAATGTTCATTCAAGAAAATTTATAATTAACGATTCTTTAAATAATATACTTATGGAATATTACTTTTCCACTTTGTCTAGATCAGATAATAGCCTTTAACTGACAGGTATTTCGTATTACTTTTACAGTACGTATGTATTACTTCAAATATATAAAAAGGTTACTTTAAGGATCAACATATTTTGTTGTGAAGAAATGATAACTATGTTCGTTTATTATTTTGAACAATAAATTGAATCCCTTATCATATGCTTATTTATCATTACGTCTATGCATTTTGCATAATAATTGTATATGTATTTTGTTTTATTATAAACATCTATTTCCCAAGAGTGTGACACTAGTTCAACTTTCATTAGTTATACATATTTACTGGTCATTAGTACAGCATAATTAGGAATTGAAAACCGGCATTGTTTTGTACATACAAGAAATTTACATAACTAATAAAATCTTATGTAAACAATTTGAGTTAATTGATATGTACTGTGGATTGATTAAACGCTGCTTGTTTATTTTGAATGGAATATCTT